AGAGGGGGAGGGGGGAACGGCGCGTCCTCCGCGCAGTCAGCCCACCGGAAGGGAGCCGCCGGGGCGACCGGCGCGGAGGGCGGCGGCGGGGCCGCGGCCGGAGAGGCCGGCGGGGAGGGGGTGGGGAGGGGCGCGGCGGCGCGGAGGCAGAGGCGGCGGAGGGGCCCGCGAAGGCGCCAGCGGAGTCGCCCATCGCCCCGCGCGCTAGATCGTTCTGTGATATTTGCCCAGCTATGAAAATTATGTGAAAAAACATACACCTTATGTTGGTTTTGAACCAAACACATTCCTTTCTTAAAGACCCTGCCTCCAAAGAAATCTAAATGTCTAAATAGCATGTAAAGCAGGTAAATTACGTAGCTATTGGGGTGTGCTCGCTCAGTATTAAAATCTAAATCCTCGTTGCATTTTGTGAAGAAAATGTGTGCAGCATGGTTGTTAGTTTATTGAATCTTACAGATACTAGATTAGATATGTGCAGTGATTTTAGTCCTGCATACTCTGCTATGTTAGATTGAGGAGAAAGAGTTATTTTATTCAACCATCTCTAGTGTCTTTTGTCTATAATGCTGATCTATCTTTTAATCTTGTGATCTTCTTTGGTTCAGTTGTGCTCATGCTACTTTGTTTGCAGGTCAGCTGGGCTGAATTTTTCATGCTAACATGGGTCATGGTAGTAGGTTGTTGCAACGCAAAACTGGGGATCCCCCTAGGAGAACAAAATCAGAAAAAGGTCCATCCTCGGCCCGTGCTTATGTTAAAGATGGCTTCAATTTTGTTTCTTACCTATAACCTGTCCATGGTTTTCACAAACATGATGTAGCAGCTGAAATGGTATAAAGGCGTTCTTGAGCTTGTGTTCAGAGAGAGGAGTTGTGATTGCTAGGGTTTGAGGTGTATTTTTCAGTGTCACTTGAAGGACTAAGGCTGTAGCTTACTAGAGTTCTACTTTTGTGTATATTTTCAATTCGATTCAACTCATTTAGCTTGACTGTAACTGAAAGCAGATAAAAGATACACATCAGTTTGTCAAAATACATGTTTGTTATCCTACAAACGAGTATAGCTATCACAAGACCAAAAGCAAATATATTTTTAAATGAAGCAAACCTATATTATGCTTCTCACATTCGACCAAGGAGCACTGGTCGACTTAAATAGATGGTTACTGCATCTGTACTAGTCCTTGGCAGTTGCAGTTAATCTGCTTCCTAATATTTCGATCACAAAAAAACTGAGGTTACATTGTGGTTGCACAGATTTAAAAATGCAATATATATCTGGACTAAAGTGTAGTTTGCTTTAAAATTTTATTCATATTTCTTTACCCTTTGGATAGTAATGAGCAGTATTAGTATTAGTCAGTCGAGCATCAGGCTGTAGATTTTTTGGTTGAACATTTGGCTTCTAAAATATACAAATGTTCAGTTCAGTTAGGGATCCGTTCTGAAAAAATGAGAGGACTAGTAAGTAACAATACGTGCAATGTGCAATACAATTCCTTTAGTATGACAGCGGAATAGCTAAATTTATGGCTGCGAAAAGTTTTCTTCAGAAGGTTTCTCTACTTGGTCAACAAACATTTCATTGTTTTCATGCACGAAACAATTCCTTGCTGTATCTTGGTAAACTGTGATTGAATAGGTCAATTGCACTTAGCTCAATTAGTGGAATGGCTAAATTTGTGTGTGATGTTTAATGTGTTGTTGTGATACAGATATTTTAAAAAGCCTTGGGGCTGCACGATATGACATTGTTATACAGAATATTAGTAAGCTGCTCCAAAATATGAGAATGAAAAGGCCATAAATTGGGCCAAATT